TCCTGGTGGAGGGGACTGGTGTCTGTGTTCTGGTGGGTGGGGCTGGATCTTGTCTTTCTGGTGGACAGGGCAGCGTCCGGTGGCGTGTTTTGGGGTATCTGTGAATTTAGTATGATTTTAGGCAGCCTCTCTGCTAATGGGTGGGGCTGTGTTCCTATCTTGCTAGCTGTTTGGCATGGGGCAACCGGCGCTGGAGTCTGCTGGCCGTTGGGCGGAGCTGGGTCTTAGCGTTGAGATGGAGATCTCTGGGAGAAATCTCGCTGATTGATATTACGTGAAGCTGGGAGGACGCTGGTGGTCCAATGTCCTGAAATCGCCTCTCCCACCCCAGAGGCTCAGGCCTGACACCCGGCCGGAGCACCAAGACCCTGTCAGCCACACGGCATAAGAAGTTCTTCATAAGATCCCCAAGATGATTTCACCTAGTCCTGTGATAACTTCATAGCCACCTCCTGTTGCTACTGCGTGGAGCTTGAGTGTTGTGAGCATTGGCTTCAAATGCCAGAGACGCCAATCATCCCCACCTGAGCAGGTGTCTCCCTAAGCATGCGTATAAACATACGTCTGTTTTTGTAGTTTTATCCACAGACAGGCCATGGGAATAGTGACCCTCCATAACAATGATCACATCTAGCACACACATCTCAGTTCCTAAATACCATGTTCTACTTAAACCAGAGTTCCATGGAGTAACAGCCAACACCAGGGCTGGGGCAGGAGGAGTACAAGTTAAACTGAGAACAACTTTTGGTGCCAAAAATTGGAAAAGTGCTCAAAGAATGCTGCAGAAATGTCAAAATTATATAGGAACTATTTCAAGGGGCTCCTCCTGGTCAAATCTGAAATAATTTGAGCGTAAATATAAATAATGATAGTAATGAGTTATAATCTACATAATAAAATAGGAAATCACAAGTGTATACTAATATAAGCAAGTAAGTTGAAAGATTAATGAGGAACAGGATATTTACAGTTTCAGAGTATCTCCGCATAAAATATAAATCAATTACAAAGTGAGAAAGAGGAACTCTACGGTGAAGAAGCCTGGAGGACAGTCCCTTAATCAAGCGACCAAATGTGCGTCATCAGTAATGGGAAAAATTGAAGTTGAGTACCACTTGATAGGATGCAATAAGAACCGGACACCACTGCTGTGATAATCCTGCAAACCTAATGATGAAGAAATATAAAACACAAATTGAGTGCGATGTACAAATACAAATGTCGAGGTCATGAAAAATCAAGGAAAGATTGAAGAAATGTTGGAGAATAAAGAGATATGACAGCTACACGCACCACAACATGTGAGTCTGAACTGGATTTTATTTTATCATTATTTTTTGCTATAAAGGCCATTAATGAAGCAATTGGAGAAATTTGAAAGAGGTGTGAGGATTAGGGCCAGTAATATGTTAATATTAAGGTTTTGATTTTGATGATACTCAAACTTTTGGTGTCAGGACCTCTGACACCAAATAGTCTTTAAGATATTGAGAATTCCAAAGAAATTTGTTTATGTGGGTTTACTCTATGCAAATTACCATATTAAAAATTAAAGTAAAAATTTAAAATCTTTATTAAATAATTTAAATAGCTGCAATAAACCTGTCATGTGTTAACATAAGTAATAACCATTTTATAAAAAATAATTATTTTCACAAAAATGGAAGAGTAACATTGATTTACATGTTTGCAAGTCTCCAGTCCAGTTTAATAGAAGACCGCTAGATTCTTATATGTCCTTCTACGTTAAGCCTTTGTGATATGTTACTTTGGTTAAAGTATGTGAAAAAAACTTTGCCTCACACAAATATCTATTTGGAAAAGGGAGGAGTATTTTAATACTCCAGATAATTGTGGCTGTTGTTTGATACCACTAATTCTCTACAAAAGGTAGTTCTTCAAGGTTAGTTGCAGTGTGGAAACAGAAAATATATCAATGAACATTTCATACTCAGTTATATTAAAGTCCATTGATCTCTCGTATTTTGAATGAAACGTTTACACATGCATGCTTGTATCACAGTATGCATTGGTTATTTGGAAAATATTGGTTCACTCAGTTATGCAGAACTTCCAAATGTTAACATGTTTCATTATGCAATACAAAAAACAAAAAAATCGCAGTTGCACTCTGAATGTGGGGAATGCAAGTTTTCTAAAATTCTAAATTTTGCTTGTAAACTTGAATTTTATTACTGGATACAAAAATTGTCAGTTGTTTTCTTTGAAGTGCCAGCCAATATTTCATTCTGTTCCTAAAAATATCTGTCAAAAACCCAAGTGCAAATAGTCAATGTTTGTCTTACAGTCGTTCTTGCAGGTAAATATGATGTTCTATGAAAAAAGGTTGTGTTCAGCTCACAAATCAAACAATAAATTGCATAATCTCCACACTTTGATACACAGCAGAAGCGCTTCACTCATACTTTCCATTTTATAATGCAGAATATTAAAAAGACATGTACTCAAGAGTCAATCAACATTTAAGAAAATGAATAATTTTTACTGCTTTGATTCTTTTTTTTTCTTTGCGGTAACTGGGCCTCTCACTATTGGGGCCTCTCCCGTTGAGGAGCACAGGCTCCAGACGCGCAGGCTCAGCGGCCATGGCTCATAGGCCCAGCCGCTCCGCGACATGTGGGACCTTCGCGGACCGGGGCACAAACCCGTGTCCCCTGCATTGGCAGGCGGACTCTCAACCACTGCGCCACCAGGGAAGCCCTACTGCTTTGATTCTTAAGTGAAACTGTCTTCTACTGTATGTGGTGGTGAAGAATACCATGATGACTAACACAGCTTGGTGGCGCTGCCTTTCTTGCTTAGGCAGTGGTGTTGACCCCCATTGTTTTTATACATCTGTGCAAAGGTCAACATGGTGAAAAGGGCATATTATGTCTTAGCATTATTATGAAAATAGTTTTGATCCTGTGGGCCCACAGCATCCAAGGACAACATATTGAGAATCATTGCAGTAGGAGAATGTCCTTATTTGCAGGAAATATACTCTAAAATATTTAGGAATGAGGGAGTATCATATTAGCAAATTATTCCCAAAATGTTCAGGAAAAAATAAGTTATGTATATTTTCAACATTTCTCTAAGTTAGAAATTGCTTAAAAATAAGATATATTATCTCTGCCTTATCTCTATCCATTTTACATTAAAGTTATATTGAAATTCCGTTATTCTTTCACAACAAAATTTGGAATTAAAATTGGAATTTCAGAAAAATGGACTTTGTTCATTCTGTGGCTTTGAGTATTCCCAGGAACATTGCATAAAACCCTGGAATTAACTGTGCCCAAGTTTGAGGAAAATAGTCATGTGTTATATGTTTTTTTTGTACACTTATATTAATTTTGGCTAGACTGTTTACCTTTACCTCTTTTAATATTCAAAACAAACTTATAAGGTAGGTAGTATCATTATCTCCTTTTTACAGAGTATGAACGTGAGTCTTAACTTTGTTAACTTTCCCAAATTTACATAAACTACGAGTGGAGAAATTAGTCTATGATTCTAATTAAGCTCTGAACTAGTAGACACAGGTGCCTTTAGGAAAAAAAATTAGATGCCTATATTGGAATGATTTGAAAGTTAAATGTAAAGTTTATGAATTTTAGATGAAAGAAATGTTAATAGCATCAGGAGAAAGTTTTTAAAAAAAGAAAATGAAAGACAAAATAATAATGTGGACTTATCTTTGTCTTTCTTCAGCTCTCTTTTGCCTTTGTAGTTGGTGACTGGGTTCTCCAGGCCTTCCAGATGCAGGAACTGTGTGAGTCCCCGCTCTGGGGTTTCACTCTCCGTTAGAGGACGTGATGTTGGAAATGAAAGTCCTTTTTGTGACATGTAGGGAAGCCCCGTGCACGTGCTTATTTGAAAGCAGATTGTAACATTGAAAATATAATTCAGATGTCACTAAAGACAATGATAGGCCTTCAACTCAGATTCTTTGAAGTTTATTTACTGTGAGCCTTGATTTCCAAGTTCACTTTAAAAATGTCACGATTGACATTTTAGAAAAAACAAGAAAGACCTTTAGCTGGAACTTTTATTCCAACTATTAAAATGAATTTATGTTGATTATATATACATATGTATATAAAACAAGACAAATATATATATATATATTTACCCTTATGATATTGTGTGTGTGTATATCTTGTGTTATAAGCAAATAATTTTAAGGCTTGACCTGACTAGAGTAACTAGAACAATTTATGGAAGAATTAACAGAGATGAATTTGTGGATTTTCTTGAGGTCAAGAAAGACAGTTTTTCAGGGCTTCCCTGGTGGCACAGTGGTTGAGAGTCTGCCTGCCGATGCAGGGGACGTGTGTTCCTGCCCCGGTCCGCGAAGATCCCACATGCTGCGGAGCGGCAGGGCCCGTGAGCCATGGCCGTTGAGCCTGCGCGTCCGGAGCCTGTGCTCCTCAATGGGAGAGGCCACAAGGGTGAGAGGCCCACGTACAAAAAAAAAAAAAAAAAAAAAAAAAAAAGACGGTTTTTCTTTAGGTCTCTGTCTCAGGGATTAAAGTCACTTTATCATCTCTGCTGCTGATTCTTTCAGAGCCAAACCCATAGAAATTAAGAAATAATAGTCTTTTGATTTCAAATATGTATGATTTAGGTTATTCAGCATATTAGATGACACCTGAAAATTACCTAGTGGAAAGAGTTTTCTATGCTTTAGCTTTTTTTGGAAGTGTGTGCCTTGCCAGCTTCTCAGATGATTTTAACAGGCCTCAGGCACACACAGTTATCAATTAACACTTTTCACCTGATGGGCCTCTTTGAGCATCAGGGTTGGGGTAATCTGGAGAGTCTCAGGTTTTAGTTGGTTGACACTGTGGAAACCACCCCGTGGGTGATCTAACTAAGTAGCAAAATGAAGGCAGCTGAGCATGGGATGCCATATAAAATCACTTAAGCTGTTACCACTTCCTATTTCCCAAGAAATCCTGGGCTGGGGGTCTGCTCACATGGAGGTCTCTATGGCTTCAGAAATCTTGATTCTCCTTGCTGCCTTGATTTGGCCTTGCGCTGAGAACATCAACGGTAAATGAATTAGAGGATGCTTCCTTGGAGGGTTACTCAGAATGACTGCTTTCCATCTTTCCAAGCAGGTGCTCTACTCCCTATAGAGATCTGATCTTACCATTTGCTAGAAAAGAAATACTTTCAGGCCAACTGGACTTGAGTCTTTATATGGAGGACACATTTTAACTTTCTGCCTAAATGTCTGAGATGTTTCTTTCTTCTATGTTATGATCTTCTATCTGAATCCACATTTGCAGAGATTCTTCAGAAATAGTCCTCGGCTCTATGTTTTAGGCTGCCCTTTTGAACTCACTGCCAGTCACCAGTACTTGGTGGTATTGTAAGATATTTGATTGTATCTTTACTGACCTTCCTGCTTCCAGACCCTTCGTATTTCCCCTTGATGATGATACTGCTCTTTTGTTCTTTTTAAAACTCTATCTGACCTTCACTCATGTTAAATTCATCAGCAGTTCTGCAAAGCCAATAGGATAAAGCTAAATCAGTGTCTGGTCTGTCTATAAATTGATTCAATATCTTTTCTATTATACCTGGAGTAGTCTCCATTTTTTTGTGTGTTATCCAGATGCTTCCCAGCTTCAAGGCCAGACTAAATTTCAACTACTCTAAGGCAGCATTTCAATATTTTTGTGTTCTCTAAGTTTTTTTTAAAGTCACTTGATGTTCCTGTTTCCTTCCGTTTGAAGTGGGGTCTGTTTTGGGGAAATGATATGTGAATTTCTTACCCATTTGGCCTATAAGTGCTTTCTGAACAAGGACCACATTTAGTTTCTGGTCTTTCCATTTTACCTAAGATGAATCTTTCAGAATGCCTAGGTTACTGCAGCTCGCCCTGTGGCAGTTAATTATTGGCATTTCAGTAATTTCAATCATTTAATTCCATACGTGTGGAGAAAAGGCTGTGACCTGTGAATCAGAGAAGAATTCCAGTTATCTGGGAGGGGTGTTCAGGCCTGGCTATGGTACATGATGCTTGGGTGCAAGGAAGGTTCTGCCTCAGTTAGTGTATGCACAGCTATGCATGTTCCTCAGGCTTTTTCTCAAACAATTTCTCAGCTACTTGAGACACAAGCTCAGAATGTCAAACTGAAACTTGACCCTAAAACTAGTATGAACAAAAAGTAGTGAAGCCAGAAGCATGGACTTCCTGTGTGTCCACATCCACTTACCCTTTTGAATCTATCTTAATCCAATTGTTGGAACCTTTATTCATTTAGGAAGGATTTCCCTGGTAACCTTATCTAGCCGATGTTAGAACAATATTTTGAACACGTGGAGAGAGGTGATTTGGAGGTTACAATCACTGATGTAGAACACCTGCCTTCTCCAAAGCCTACTTTTTTCTTAAACATCTCCCTATATTTTCTTACTTTCTTGATGATTTATCCTTAAAAACCAAGAACTTCCAGGCTCAAATGTGCTGGAGGTATCTCGCTCATTAATCGTAGAAATATTTCTTCATGCTGGGAAGATTCAGATTTTCCAAAGTGTTTAAGAGAATTCTGGATGTCCTCCAAGGCCTACTAGGTCTCTATGACTGGTTTGGGAACTTTCCTCGTCAAGATTTGAATGACTAGCTATTTTCGTTGTGTGATCTTATTTTATTACATTGCAATGGATATGTAAATGAGCACTGTCACATAGAAAAGAAGAGAGTAAATGACAATTAGCCCCTCTGACACATGACTAGCTTACTTAGAGTCATGTTAGGCTTATTTGTGAGAAGTATGAGATACTAAAATATTGATGGCAGATGGTCATTTTTTAAAAGTTTTATTTTTTTATAATTTTAAAAGGTTATACTCCATTTATAGTTATTACAAAATGTTGGCTATATTCCCCATATTGTACAATATATCCTTGTAGCCTATCTTACACCCAATAGTTTGTACCTTCCACTTGCTCACCCCTATATGCCCCCCTCCCCACCAGTAATCACTAACTTGTTCTCTATATCTGTGGGTCTGTTTCTTTTTTGTTATACTTACTAGTTCATTGTTTTTTTTCTTTTTTTTGTGGTACGGGGGCCGCTCACTGTTGTGGCCTCTCCCATTGTGGAGCACAGGCTCTGGATGCGCAGGCCCAGCGGCCATGGCTCACGGGCCAAGCCACTCCGCGGAATGTGGGATCCTCCCGGACCGGGGCACGAACCTGTGTCCCCTGAATCGGCAGGCAGACTCTCAACCACTGCGCCACCATGGAAGCCCATGGTTCATTGTATTTTTTAGCTTCCACATAAGTGATATCATGCAGTATTTGTCTTTCTCTGTCTGACTTATCTCACTTAGCATAGTGCCCTCCAAGTCGATCCATGTTGCTGCTGCAAATGGCAAGATTTCATTCTTTTTTCTGGCTGAGTGGTATTCTATTGTGTGTGTGTGTGTATATATATATATATATATACCACATCTTCTATATACATTCATCTGCTGATGGATGCTTAGGTTGCTTCCTTATTTTGGCAATTGTAAATAATGCTGCCATGAACATTGAGATGCATGGAGCTTTTCATATTCGTGTCTTTGTTTTTTTCAGCTACATATATCAGATGGTCATTTTTAACGACACTTGTTTATTTCTTCCAATGACCACCTTTTGTCAATTCCTAAACTAAGATTCATCTATA